AAATATTTGAGCTAAACTAAAATGAAAATACAGCCTATTAAAACTTGTGAAATGCAGATAAAGCAGTGCTCAGAGGGAAACTTATAGCATGAAAAGTTTTGTTTTTAAAGATTTTATTTATTTGACAGAGAGAGACACAGCGAGAGAGGGAACACAAGCAGGGGGAGTGGGAGAGAGAGAAGCAGGCTCATTGCTGAGCAGGGAGCCCGATGCAGGGCTCGATCCCAGGACCCTGGGATCATGACCTGAGCCGAAGGCAGACGCTTAACGACTGAGCCACCCAGGCGCCCCGTGAGAAGTTTTTATTAGAAAAAATTATCTAAAATCAATCATCTAAGCTCCCACCTTAAGAAATTTTTTTTTAAGATTTTATTTATTTATTTGACAGAGAGAGACACAGTGAGAGAGGGAACACAAGCAGGGGGAATGGAAGAGGGAGAAGCAGGCCTCCCGCTGAGCAGGGAGCCCGATGCGGGGCTCGATTCCAGGACCCTGGGATCATGACCTGAGCCAAAGGCGGACGCTCAACGACTGAGCCACCCAGGCGCCCCAAGAAAATTTTTTTAAAAATTAAAAAATAAGAACAAATTCAACTGAAAGCATGCAAAAGAAAATAAAGATAAAGATAAGAGCAGAAATCAATACAACTGAAAACAAGAAAACAACAGAGAAAAATCAATAAAACTAAAAGCCAGTTCTTTGGGAAGAATAATAAAATTGATAAACCTCTAGCCAGACTGAAAAAAGAAGACACAAATTATCCATATAGGAATAAAAAGGAAATATCACTACAGACTCTACAGATCCTACAGACATAAAGTGTTACCAGAAAAAAACCCAAAAACCAAAAAAACCAAAGTGTATCAGAAAAAAACACCAAAAACCAAAAAACCAAAACCAACCAAATAAACAAAATCCTCTATGCCCATAAATTTGACAACTTAGATGAAATGGGCTGATTTGCTGTTAAAAGATACAAATTACCAAAACCCATTCAAGAAGAGACAATAGCTGAATAGTCCCATATCTATCAAAGAAATTGAGTTCATTGTGAAAAGCCCTCCAACAAAGAAAACTCCAGGCTCAGATGGTTTAGCTGGCAAATTCTACCAAATATTTAAATAAGTAATAATGCCAATTTGACATAATCTCCTGCAGAAAATAGAAGAGAAGGAAACACATCCCAAGTCACTTATGAGACCAACATTTCTGTCTTAGGTCAGGGTGCTATAATGAAGTAGCATAAACTGGGTGGCTTATAAACTACAGAAATTTATTTTTCACAGTTATTGAGGCTGGAAGTCCAAGATCAGGGTACCAGCATGGTTAGAATTCTGGTTAAGGCCCTCTTCTGGGTTACAGACTGCTGTTTTCTCATTGTATCCTCATATGGTAGAAACAGTGCAAGAGAGCTCTTTGGGATCCCTTTCATAAGGGCCCTAATATCATTCAAGAAGGCTTCACCTTCATGACTAATTACCTCCCAAAGGCCCTACCTCCTAATACCACCACACTGGGGGTTAGTATTTCAACATATGAATTTGGGGGGAAAAAACTTTCTGTCCAAATGCAATTACCTTAATATCAAAACCAGAAACAGTGTGGTATTAGGTTAAAGGATAGGCACATAGGTCAATGGAACAGAGCACAGAGTTCAAAAATAGACCCACACAATGGATCTTTTTTTAAAGGAGGCTCCATGCCCAGTGTGGAGCTCAACAAGGAGCTTGAACTCACAACCCTGAGATCAAGACCTGAGCTGAGATCAAGAGTCAGATGCTTAACTGACCAAGCCACCCAGGTGCCCCCACACAATTGATTTTTCACAAAAGTGCAATGGCAATTCAATGGAGAAATGACTGTCTTTTGAACAAATGGTGGTGGAATAACTGGATGCCCATTGGCAAAGCAAAATGAGCCACAACACATACTTCACATTGTATACAAATTTAACTCAGAATGGATCATAAACTTAAATATAAAATCTAAAAGTATAAAAACTTTAAAAGAAAACACAGGAGGGAATCTTTGTAACTTGGAGTTAGGCAAAGATTCTAAGAAATGACACCAAAAGCATAATCCAGAAAAGAAAAACCTGACAAATGGGATTTCATCAAGACTTAAAACTGACTCTGTGAAGAATACTCTTAAGAGAATGAAAAGACAATTCATAGATGGGAAGAAAATATTTATAAATCACATATCAGAAAAAGGACTTGTATCCAAGATACATGAAGAACTCTTAGAATGAAATGAAAGGAAACCAATTTTTTAAAAATGCCAAAGATTTGAAACTATAAAAATACTAGAAGAGAGCACAGTCAGTAAGTTCTCTGACATCATCTGTAGCAACATTTTTCCAGATATGTCTCCTGAGATCAGGGAAACAAAAGCAAAAATAAACTACTGGGACTACATGAAAATAAAAAGCTTCTGCACAGCAAAGGAAACAATCAACAAACCTAAGAGACAACCTACTGAATAGGAAAAGATATTTGCAAATGACATATCCAATAAATGGTTAGTATCCAAAATACATAAAGAACTTACACAACTCGGGCACCTGGGTGGCTCAGTTGGTTAAGCAACTGCCTTCGGCTCAGGTCATGATCCTGGAGTCCCGGGATCGAGTCCCGCATCGGGCTCCCTGCTCAGCGGGGAGCCTGCTTCTCCCTCTGACCCTCCCCCCTCTCATGTACTCTCTCTCATTCTCGCTCTCTCAAATAAATAAATAAATCTTTAAAAAAAAAAAGAAGTTACACAACTCAACATGAAAAAACCCCAAATAATCCAATTAAAAATGGGCAGAAGGGGTGCCTGGGTGACTCAGCAGTCAGTTAAGCGTCTGACTCTTGCTCTCAGCTCAGGACTTGATCTCAGGATTGTGAGTTCAAGCCCTGCATTGGACTCCACACGGGGTCTGGAGCCTACTTAAAAAAAAAAAATGGGCAGAAGTCATGGATAGACATTTCTCCAAAGAAGACATACAGATGGCCAACAGACATATGAAAAGATGCTCAACATCACTCATCATCAGGGAGATGCAAATCAAGACCACAATGAGATATCACCTCACACCGGTCAGAACAACTAACATAAAAAACACAGGAAACAAGTAAACAAGTGTTGGTGAGGATGTGGAGAAAAGGAACCCTTGTGCACTGTTGGTGGGAATGAGAACTGGTGCATCCACTGTGGAAAACAGTATGGAGGTTCCTCAAAAAATTAAAAATAGAATTACATATGATCCAGTAATTCCACTACTGAGTATTTACCCAAAGAATACAAAAACATTAATTTGGAAAAATATATGCACCCCTATGTTTATTGCATTATTTACAATAGCCATATTATGGAAGCAGCCCAAGTGTCCATCACAGATGAATGGATTAAGAAGATGTTGGCGCCTGGGTGGCTCAGTCAGTTAAGCATCTGCCTTCAGTTCAGGTCATGATCCCAGGGTCCTGGGATCGATTCCCACATTGGGCTCCCTGCTCCGTGGGGAGCCTGTTTCTCCCTCTGCCTCTGCCTTCCTCTCTCTCTGTCTCTTATGAATAAATAAAGAAAATTTTTTAAAAATGTGGTATATATATACAATGGAATGTTACTCAGCCATAAAAAATAGTGAAGTCTTGCCATTTACAACATAGATGGCTCTAGAAAGTATAAGGCTAAGTGAAATCAGTCAAAGAAAGACGAATACCATATGATTTCACTCATGTGTGGAATTTAAGAAAGAAAACAAATGAACAAAGAAAAAAGGAGACAAATAAAAAACCAGACTCTTAATTATGGAGTACAAATTGATGGTTACCAAAGGGGAGGGTGGTGGGGAGATGGGTAAAATGGTAAAATAGGTAAAGGGAATTAAGAGTACACTTATGATGAGCACTGAGCAATGTAAAGAATTGTTGAATCACTATATTGTACACCTGAAACTAACGCTGTATGTTAGCTATACTGGAATTAAATATTTTTTTAAAAAGGGGCAAAGAGGCCGCCTGGGTGGCTCAGTTGGTTAAGCGACTGCCTTCGACTCAGGTCATGATCCTGGAGTCCCGGGATCGAGTCCCGCATCGGGCTCCCTGCTCGGCAGGGAGTCTGCTTCTCCCTCTGACCCTCCTCCCTCTCATTCTGTCTCTGTCTCTCATTCTCTCTGTCTCTCAAAATAAATAAATAAAATCTTTAAAAAAAATAAATAAAAAAAATAAAAAAATAAAAAGGGGCAAAGATTTGAACTGACACTTCACCAAAGAAGCTATATGGATGCCAAATAAGTACATGAAAAAATGCTCAAAATCATTAGTCATTAGGAAACTGCAAATCAAAATCATAATGGTATACCATTTCATACCCACCGAGATGGCTATAACAAAAAATACAGACAACAACAGGTGCTGATGAGGATGTGGAAACATTGGAACTCCAGTCCACCACTGGTGGGAATGTAAAATGGCACAGCTGCTGTGAAAAACAGTTTGGCAGTTCCTCAAAAACTTAAACATAGAATTACCACATGATCCAGCAATTCTACTCCTGGGTATATAGCCAAGAGAACTGAAAGCACGTTCACACAAAAACTTGTCCACAAATATTCATAGCAGCATTATTCATACTAGCCCAAATGTAGAAATAACCTAAATATTTGAGTGATGAATGGATGAGCAAAGTGTTGTATATCCATACAATGGAATATCGTGGAATGAAAAGGAATGAACTATTAATGCATGCTACAACATGGATAAACCTTGAAAACATCATGCTAGGTGAATGAAGCCAGACACAAAAGGCCACGTGTTGCATGATGTGATCCCATTTATACGATTGTCCAGCATAGGCAAACCCATAGAGACAAAAAGTAGATTAGTTATTGTCAGAGGATGAGGGTAGAAGGGGTCAACAGGTACAGGGTTTCTCTTGTGGGGTATCTTAATCAACTGCAGCTGCCGTAACAAAATACTATACACTGGGTGGCTTAAACAACAGAAATTTAGGGATACCTGGGTGGCTCAGCCGGTTAAGTATCTGCCCTTGGCTTAGGTCATGATCCTGGGGTCCTGGGATCGAGTCCCATGTCGGGCTCCTTGGTCAGCAGGGAGCCTGCTTCTCCCTCTGCCTGCAGCTCCCTCTGCTTGTGCGCATGTTCTCTCTCTCTCCCCCTCTCTGTGACAAATAAATAAATAAAATCTTTTAAAAAAATAAAATAATAACAGAAATTTATTTTTCACACTTCTGGAGGCTGGGGAGTCTAAGGTCAAGGTGCTGGCAAAGTAGGTTTTATTCTGAGGCTTCTCTCTTGGCTTGTAGACAGCCTTGTTGTGTGTTTACGTGACATTTTCTTGGTGTGTGCGTGCAGAGAGATCTCTCCTCCTCTTCTAAGTGCACTAATCCCATCATGAGAGCCCCAAATCTCATCACGTCATCTATCTCGAATTACCTCCCAAAGACCCATCTCCAAATACCTTCAAATTGGGGAGTAGGGGACTTCAACATGAATTTCGGGGGCAATTCAGTGCAAGCAGAGGCTGATGGAAATGTTGTGGAATGAGATACTGGTGGTGGTTGTAAAACTTCATGACTATACTAAAAACCACTGAACTGTATACTTAAAACACACACACACGCGCGTACAGTAAGATACCACCACACATCTGCTAGAATGGCTAAAATTAAAAATAAACAAATAAATAAAACACAAATGACCATATATGAAGTGCTGCCAAGAATGCAGAGGGACCAAAAGTCTCATATATTGCTGATGAGAGTGCAAAATGGTGCAACCACTCTGGAAAAGAGTTCGGAAGTTTCTTACAAACTTAAACATACGCCTACCACATGACCCAGGAATCTCACCGCATGTTATTTGCCCAAGTGAAACAAAAGCCTGTGTTTAGAGAATAACTGAAAAACAAAAAACACCACACAAATGTTTACAGTAGCATTATCTGTCATCACCCAAACCTGGAAACAATCCAAAAAATTGTGGCACACCTATAAAATAGATTGCTAGTTAGCCATTAAAAGGAAAAACAGAACTGATGCTACATCGGCACGAACGACTCTCAAACACATTACGCTAAATGAAAGAAGCCAGATTCGAAAGACTTACATATGCTGCATTCCATTTATGTAACATCCTGGACAGGCGAAAGTGCAGGGGCAAAGAACCAATCAGCGGTTGCCAGAGATTCACGGCGCTTCCGCTTCCTGACCCTCTGCGGTGTTCTGCTGGGCCAATCAACTTGCTCTTTATTGGTGTGCCCTCCACTCCCCACCTCTACCTGCAGCACCCCTCCCTCAGGCTTAAGCTTCTCCATTGCACTCAATCAGTTCTATTATCCTCCATCTGCTTTCATTTTCCAGAATTGTGTGGACATTTCTTTCTTGCTTTTTTAAAGATTTTATTTATTTATTTGACGGAGGGAGAGAGAGCGCCCACAAGCAGGGGGAGTGGCAGGCAGAGGGAGAGGGAGAAGCAGGCTCAGCCCTTGGATCCTGACCTGAGCAGAAGGCAGACGCTTAACTGAGCGAGCCCCCCAGGCGCCTTGTGTTGACATTTCTTAACTCCTGTCATCTTCTCTCTTCTCTTTAACCCTATGGGTTTATGGTCTTTGTATTTATTTATTTTTTACTGTTATTATAGTGAGGATTTGGGAGGGAACAGATAAATACCTATTCACTCTTTCATGTTAGCTGATACAGCTCTTCTTTAATCAAGTCTACAACATAAATATACTTTAGGGGCGCCTGGGTGGCTCAGTTGGTTAAGCGACTGCCTTCGGCTCAGGTCATGATCCTGGAGTCCCTGGATCGAGTCCCGCATCAGGCTCCCTGCTCGGCAGGGAATCTGCTTCTCCCTCTGACCCTCCCCCCTCTCATGTACTCTCTCTCATTCTCTCTCTCTCAAATAAATAAATAAAATCTTTAAAATAAATAAATAAATAAACTTTAGGAAACGGATACTATTTTCTCATGAATATATATAAAGTTTATCGCTGGTCAACCTTGGAAAACATAAGTGTTTATCAGACATGACCCCAGTAAGTATATCCACTCAAGCCATCTGATTTTTATCTCCCAGAGGGGACTCATTTAAAAGAGTCATCTAGTCTAATAGCGAGAATTTCCAACAGCTGCCTAGGCTATGGGCCAGAGCTCATGGGAGTATGACAAACCAACGGTTTTACTTGGAGCTGTGTGAACAGGGGCAGCCCCCTAACAGTGGTAAGCTGGTGACTCAGCAAAGGAGTTGTAGGTTTGTGTATGTCTATGAGTAACACCCCAGCAGTCCCACTTGTAATCGGGACCCAGAAATGCCTTCTCATTACTTACATCATAATCATCCCCTTACATAAATGCATAAAAATAGTGTTGAAACAGCTTTGACTCCCATAGGAAACATTCCTGTTCTCTCTCATCATTTCTATGGCACCATGCTCTTCAATCCCAAGTGATCTTTGAAAAGGCAGTAATACTCAAATCTTCCACATCAGGAAAAATCCAAGGTCTCAGGGAGCAGCTGGGCGGTTGTTTACCCCTCCTTTAGAGGCCGTGCAGCAAAGCTAAAGAACACTAGGTAGTGGCATTTAAAACTTTGGCTCATACAAATGTAAATTACAGGTTGTAACATGCTCTACACACATCTTACTTTTAACAATTCTGTCACTGGGGACGCCTGGGTGGCTCAGTTGGTTAAGCGGCTGCCTTCAGCTCAGGTCATGATCCCAGGACCCTGGGATCAAGTCCCACATCCTACTGCTTGCTCAGCAGGGAGCCTGCTTCTCCCTCTCCCTGCAGCTTCCCCTGCTTTTACTCTCGCTCACTCTATCGCCTATGCTCTCTCTCTCTAGCAAATAAATGAATAAAATCTTAAAAAACAAAAAACAAAAAACAATTCTGTCACTGTTCATTTTTGCCAGCTCACACACACGCACACACACACACACAACTGGGCACCTTTGTGCTATGTGAAAACCCTGGGCCGTGTAAACCAGGACTTTTTCTTTTGTGTATGAGGGTGTACAGTGTACTTTATTTTTTTATTTTTTTTTTTTTTTAAAGATTTTATTTATTTATTTGAGACAGAGAGAATGAGAGAGACAGAGAGCACATGAGAGGGGGGGAGGGTCAGAGGGAGAAGCAGACTCCCTGCCGAGCAGGGAGCCCGATGCGGGACTCGATCCCGGGACTCCAGGATCATGACCTGAGCCGAAGGCAGTCGCTTAACCAACTGAGCCACCCAGGTGCCCCACAGTGTACTTTATTGATGGTCCACAACAAGGTAGGGCTCCCTAAATGCCTCTCCTTCTTCAGGGGTCTGGGATGGAAACTGTGTGGAAGGTAAGAGATTTTCAGTATATCAGGAGGTCTATCTGGGGCAAGGACTCCCCAGCACCTGAGCCTCTCCTGCTCTCCCTGGGGCTGGTGTTCCTGGGGCTCTTATTCCTGGGAGGCCATGTGGACCACAAGGTCCATCACCCTGATGCTATAGACAAATTCATTTTCATCACAGGAAACGAGCTTGACAAAGTGGTCACGGAGGGCAATGTCAGCCCTAGCATCGAAGGTGGAAGAGTACATGTCACTGTTAAAGCTGCAGGAGACAACCTGGTCCTCAGCACAGCCCAGGATGCCCTTGAGGGGGCCCTCTGCTGCCCACTTCACCACCTTTTTGATGTTGTCATATTTGGCAGCTTTCTCCAAATGGCAGGTCAAGTCCATGACCAACACCCACAAGGTTGGGGAAAGCCATGCCAGTGAGCTTCCCATTTCAGCTCAGGGATGACCTTGCCCTCAGCCTTGGCAATACTGGTGGAAACAAGGACAATGTTGTGGACAGCTCCTCAGCCATCACCACTTACCTTCTCAGAAGGGCCTTCTACAGTTTTCTGGGTGGCAGTGATGGAATGTACTGTGGTCATGAGTCCCTCCATGATGCCAAAGTTGTTATGGACAACCTTGGCCAGGGGACCAAGCAGTTGGTGGTGCAAAAGGCATTGCTGACAATCTTGAGAAAGTTGTCATACTTCTTTTTCATGGTTCATGCCCATCACAAGCAGAAGAGGCAAAGATGATGACCCTTTTGGCTCTACCCTTCAAGCGAGCCCCAGCCTTCTTCAGGATAGTGAGGATACCAGTGGATTTCACAGTAAGTTCAGCACAGACCTCATTTTGTTTGATGTTAGTGAGATCTCCCTCCAGGAAGATGGAGATGGGCTTTCCATTAATGACAAGCTTCCCATTCTCAGCCTGGACTGTGTCCTTGAACTTGCCATGGGTGGAATTATACTGGACCATATAGACCATGTATCGAGGTCAATGAAGGTGTTATTGATGGAGACAATATTCACTTTGCTAGAGTTAAAAGCAGCCTTGGTGACCAGGCACCCAAAGTAGCCAAAGCCATTTAGTTGGGCCTTCACCATCATGTCTCAGGGACACAGCTGTTGTCAAATAGGGAGGGGCAGAGAGCCAAAGGGAGCCAGGATTTTCTTGAACAGAAGTTGAAGGAAATCTTGTAAAGCAAAGAGGCAGACGGTTGATTGCTACTTTTAGGCACCACTGTCTTATTCTTGCTAATGGAACACTGATTTTGTTAAGTATGGTCTGGCAACAGACTCAGGAAAGATGAGGGTGTCACCCAGCAGCATTGCCAGAATCTCAAATAAAAATATAGGACAGCCAGTTAAAACTGAATTTCAGACAAACAAGTAAGGGGCAACCCTTTTCACCCCATCCTCCATCCTCCCCCGGGGGTGAACTGTGATTGGTTAAGACAAGCGTGATAATCCTGTTACCCCTTGCTAAAGATTGGTTAGGAGGTGGGCATGTCACACACTTCTGACCAACTGCATATGGTGGAGAAATCTTCTGGGGGCTCTGGGAAAGATTTTCCTCCCTGATTACAAACAGAAGAACCAGTACTCGAGCAAGTGAGAGAAAGCACAAGAGCAAGCAATGTGGAAGTCCTTCATGCTTCGTGCCTTCACTAATCTCACGTGAAGGTATGTGCTGGGAACAGCAACAGTCATTTTGTCGCCATGAAGGAAAAGTCTTAAATAAGTCAGAGAGATTGAGCCAGAACTCTGCCATTGTTGAACTTCTGACTGAGGCAGCTCTGGAATTCTTTTCACCAGA